GGATACGTGAGGGAGTTTAGTTTTACGCCGCACTCAGCACTATTCCAGCTATATGGTGGTCTGTAAATAATCGAGTCTTGACCAGACAATCCAGTGATCAACAACATGAGCATCGATCTACGCAATCGGATACGATGACGTGTGTCAACCAAGTCAGCGAACCTGATCACCCGTTAGTCGCCTCTTAAGACAAGCATGGGTTACTGAAGATCAATTCTAACCCGAACCATTACGGATAGAGAAACATGAAGATATCTAGAGGTAGCAAAGGTATAGCGCATCAGTATGGACCGTTGCTACAGACAAACGTTGTATTTTAGTTAACTCTGAACTGACTAAAAGTCGTTACATTAACAGTCTGGTGAGCCGAACCCGAGTTGCGTATGAGAACACACACACACACGCACGCACACACACACACACACACACGTGGGCTGTTAAACATAATTTACCAACAATAACACTCACTGTCTATCAATACCAGTGCGCGAAATACAGGCCAGGCCTATTGCCAGGGCATGGCACCTTTACTTTCTTCCTGGCTAGTAACAAGGAAACCTGACTGGCTAGTATATTTCATCTCTTGAACTGTCATAAGTGTATTCAGATGTCAAATATGACATTAATAAATGTGATCTGTAACTACATGTTAAATGGTTACTTACAGCGGTGTGCTGTGACATTAAATTTTGCGGAGTGCCCCTTTTGACTAGTTCTGCAAACGACGGAACACTTTCATAATGAGTCAGAGTGAAGTTCTAATCGTAATCGTAGTTCTAATTGAAATATATATTTGAAAATAATACTTAAGGAATGTTTCAGTTGTAACCTGTAATCGACGCAAGCCAGACAAACTAGTGGCCGATTTATTGAGAGTGGTCCAACGCGCGGCGCCTAGGCACGATGGATGGTCAACGATGCAAACTATCATCCGGTGGGGATTAAAATTTTAGTGAGGGAGTATGGGTTTAAGTTACCTTCGAGCTAACATCCCTGCCACAATATGCACCACACATAATATAGGGCCTCACAAGACAAGGCTTTAAACACTGTAGGTCACTACATGCACGTACGCACAGAACGCGTGCCGGAGCAACACATTAACAACAGATAAATAAGAAGCATCGTAAGTAAGTCTATCACCTTGGTGAAACCCAGCAGCATAATAGGTAAGAACCTTGAATTCGAACCCATGACTACCCGATCCTGGTACACTTAAGGTAGGCAACTCTCGATGATCGATTGCGGCTCCATGGGTCAGTGGTAGCTCCGTGAAACGAAGTATGACGTGGTATACATTTACAAAGTACAATATGGCTCCGTTTACTATTTGACCTGTGACAGTACACATTGTACGGAAATGACGATATCACAATAGACAGATACCTCACATGGGAAATCATTATCACGGTGACCCATTTCCAAGGGTCGGAAATCATATCAGCTGTGAGTGAATACGTATGGTTTTACGCCGCTTTTAGCAATATTCCAGCAATATCACGATGGGGGGACACCAGGAATGGGCGGGGGTAAACAAGAAATTGGCATCACACATTGTAACCATGTGGGAAATCGAACCAGGGTCTTCAGCGTGTGGAGCCAACCCTTGAACCACAAGGTTACCCTATTGTTTTGAAATCCAATCAGTAAGTGTAACAAAAGGGTGACTGGGCAAATAATATCGTTTGGAACATGATTTGATATATACAAATTCATCTTATAGCTATATAGTCAGGTCGTTTTTGTGAGTGATTTTATATTCAATTTGTTAATGCCATGCCAATATATGGCGACATAGATGTTTACGTCTTTGACGTGAAGCTTTGGACTTGTAAACCAACTGTCATAATTGGTGCCAAACCTTTGCAAGACTGACGCAATATGTCAGACTTCACACTAAAATAATCTGGCTTAATTACGTTTTATCAAAATAGATTGTCCTGATCCAATTACAACAGATGGAGTTAAGTGTTACATATAAAAACAGAAGTGTGCACCATGTGGCTTAGGATATTTTACACTCATGCCTTTGCTGGAAATCGTTTCCAAGGTATCGAGACTATACAGTCCTGTTGGCAACACCCTTAAACATATATACTGAACAATATTAGAAACGCACCACCCATATAATACGAAATATCCCCGTCAGACTGAAATGTACCCATATCTGAGCATCATCGGCGCATTTTAGTGTGGTGCGTTTCTAATGTTGTTCAGTATACCATTAAAAATATAACAGCCAACCAATTGGACAGTTGCATTTGCTCAACTCCCAGATCAAAGATGATTACATCAGCCCTGCAATCAAGCTTTGTTCTTGGCTAGTTTAAATTACATACTTTCAGTGTCAACTTGTGCTAAATTGTATTTGAAACTACATGACATGTAGTGAATAATCTGGCTATGCTTACATGTTGGCTATATAATCTATATTCCCCACTAGTCTTGAACCCAAAGCAGTCTTAAATCTGCACCAAGTATTGCTTCCTGATTCCACATTGAACAGAGGTGGAATAATACATTGATTCATAGTTTGTTGTTTTAAAGCTACACTCAGCAATATTCCAGGTAAATGGCAGCTGTCTAATTTATCAAACGTGGACCAGACAATCCAGTGATGAAAAAGAGCATGGATCTATGCAATTGGGATATGATGACATGTGTCAGTGTGTCAGACCACCCATGGCCCCTTACAATATAAATACATTGAGCAAACACTATAAATAAATATATTACACATGTTCTGGAAACACTTATTGAAGTAAACTGAGTCCTGATCTGGGCTATCAACATTCAGCACACAGAACCTGGGTATGAAGCATATAGACTTTTGAGGCCCACTGGACTGGTCAGTGGAAAGGTCTTAAAGAAATATTTCACAGTAAATGGATGACTGACTGAGTGAGTTTGGTTTTACGCCGCTTTTAGCAATATTCCAGCAACAACACGGCGGGGGACACCCGAAATGGGCTTCACACTTTGTTCCCATGTGGGGATTCGAACCCGGGTCTTCGGCGTGACGAGCCAACGCTTTAACCATTAGGCTACCCCACCGCCCCTAGTAAATGGATGAAAACGAGTTGCCCCCTAATCATCTGAAAACTAATAAAATATTGCTAAATACTAAAATAATGCAGAACTGGCATAGAGGTATTTGCACCAAAGCCCTTTGGACATGAGTGCAGAGCTGTCATATTTCAAATGTTATTGGTATAAACACTGGTGTTGGGAATTGGTTGATATCTCACAATTGATTGGGTCTCTACCAATGAGAAAAATATTGGTTAGCATTATTTTTTCAGATTTTCCTATTCAGGTTAAGTTGTTATAGCAAATATGTATAAAGAAAAAACTTGTGGTTCTGTTGTTTTTCGCTTTATTTATTGCATTGACGAATTTCACAGCATGTGTAAAATGATGCAACTTGCTACTTTAAAGTCATGATTATTATATCATGAAGTTCGGAACAAAGTTTCTAGTGTCAAGACATGTTCAGCCATGACTTTTCAGCAAACGTAGTGAACTTTTTAAGAATTACGTTTTCAGGCCATGACAACTTCTAAGATATGTTCCTTCCTCAAGAATTTCAAACACTAAAACAGTAGTACCAAAATCGTTTGCATTTGATTATGAGAAAATGTAATTGATTGCTTGGTTGCATGGTCACTGTGACCAATCTTCGATTATTTCAATTAACTGGAACACCACTAAAGTACTGACGGAAATAGATAAAAACGTTTTTAAGCGTTACTCTCTATCCCTTAATTTACACAACTGCAAATAGCATATGTCGAAACAACCCACTTCTGCCTAACTTGGCATTCTGTGGGATGCGTAATAGGATATCCAGAAAAGCATGCTTACTCGTAAAATCAGGCAAAACTTAGAAAATATAGGAATAGCTGCTGTAACAATAGATCAGACTATAGATGGCAATTAGGTCGCTCAGCCAGGTATGACGACAGACCATCAACTCACCTGGCATGAAATGCATGTGCTGCCTACAGTCACAAGTGGTCATCTCAAAGATATTTTGTGCTTTTTCATGTGTGTTGACTATGCCTCATCTATTGATTAACAATAACATCTTAAGTGTCTTTCTTTCATAAAGTTTATGTTGAGATATATAGAAGAGTATGAGGATACCTGATAACCATAGAAACGCACCGTATAAATGTCTCAAAATATATAGGTGGCATGACCACCCGATCGCGAAGATAAACAGGACAAGATATTATTTGTAAACTGTTATGACATGCCAAACTTCCAAGTATAATTGCCCTAAAGGATTATCTTAGCTGATATCGCTATCCCCCAGCCCGACCCAAACGATCGTCCGCGACACCCTTTCAGGTTTTGCTTGAGACGAACCCTCCTATCTGTTTTTTTTTAGTGACAGTGAGACTCCATGTTAGCTACCTCCTTAATAATTTCAGCATGAAAGTTGTTTTACGCCAGCTATTGTTTATAATGAAGCTACTTAAAAATGGGCATCTAAAAAAGTGTTCTTCGTAATACAATATCGTCTAATTTGCATAAAGCCATGGTCTGTTCCAAATAAATAGTTTTGGACTTAGAAACCCCCCGCATTGCTCTTTTCTGCACTAATCTCTCCTGGTAAAGTCCTTTTTCTACGGGTCCTATGTCCATACCACCGAGACTGTAGTTGAAGGTAGGGTGAACTTAGTTTAACAGATATCAACTACATAAATTGTAGAGATAAATGAGAAAATACAGTTTATTTTCTATTTCCGACAGTACTTTAATAAACACCTCTTGCAAATTGTCTGAAGATAGCTTACATCCTATAGAAATAAACATCCAAAGAAGGTTTGCTAAAAATTGTAAAAGGTATGTGGTGTAAAAATGGTAGTGTATTTAACATAAACTGTGCCTTGACACATCTATACTGTTACAATGCACATACAAAGCATATTCCCCAATATAAGGACAAAAATCAAAATAACTTTGGTTTTATGTAGATAACTATAACACTTGAGAGTTGTGAAAAGAATTTATTCAACACTGACAAAAAAATGATTAAAATTCGAACACGGACATAAAATGAGGTTCTCACGGTCTGGTTAAGCTTTCTACATGAACTAAGATAACAGACCTCCTTGAATACAACACAAATGGATGACCAAGCAGTATGTGTGACAATTCAGGTGAGCAGATTCTCAGCAGAGCTTGAGAAATCACTTCTTCCAACTTACTGGCCTCAAGTTCATGCAAACGTGAGTTATTCCTCTACACAACCCTAGACTAGATATGATATGTTGTCCTCAACACTTGAATAAAGACACATTACATCTTTGGCTTGTTTATTGACTTAGCATAAATCTTAAGTACAGTGTTGAGCATGGGACAAGTGAACATGATTAGGAAATTCCATTTACAAAATGCAGCTCAAGTTTGAACATTATTCGATCTGTCAGTCCTTTCGTTCTTAATATACATGCAACAGTGATGATGGTATTTGACCATTTGTAAAACAATCTTGACAGAATGCATTTCTCATTTAACCTTTCCTATGCTGCGATAAAATAAACAAGGGAGATTAACATGCAGTCTATGTCCCTGAGCATTAAAACAAGGCTTAAATGGATGACTTAATGTTCAAATCTTGGGTTTAAACCCAATTATTAGAAAAATACAAACATGAATATATGTAGCACTTTCTCACAAGAAATGTCTTTTGGCATTTGTTTTGGAATATTGCTATTTGGAGCTGCCTCAATGTCAAACTTGATTCACATGTATGGAACGAAAGGCAGGTTTAGATGACAAAGTTGTCAATTGAATAACAACGTCCGTTGTCAAATTTTGATCTAAAGCTTTCAGCACCTTCTGGGAAGTTTGAACACAACATTGCCTGACCAGAGTACATATCCTTCTTGACGTAAATGTTCGGTTGGCATGTTGCAAAATGGTGCTACAGGGAATCTTCTGGTGTGTCAGCCAGTCACAACATAAGAGCCTTTGGTTCCTTCATTTCACTCATCATCATCCTCATCATCTTCCTCCTCCTCCTCATCATCATCCACTTCTTCCTCCTCATCGTCTTCATCCTCCTCATCGTCATCTTCACTCTTGCCATTTGACTGTTTTGTCTTCTTGGCAGCAGAAGGCCCACCCTAGTAAGGAAACAATTAGTCAGATAATCTTCTAAAAATGATAGTTCATGGCATAAAAATACCAAAAAACCCTACAGGCGGCATTTTTCGATAGCACAAAGCGTTTAATTTCTTCCTGAATCCAATGTAATATTCAACATGGTATTCCTACAGTGACATTGGTTGTTGGATATTCAGAAGTTCAAAGTTACAAGTATTGCCAACAACTTACCTTTCTCCACTCTTCCATTGCCTTTTCATATTTCTTCTGCTCTTCAAGTGCACCCTTCTCATATGGTTTTTTGTCATTGTCACTCAGATTTCGCCATTTTTCGCCAGCTGCAACAGAAATCAAACCTCAAATATAATTTTTGTACCACGTCAAGTGAGTGAACGGTCTCTGATAATCCACTGTTTATCTACAGGAGTGGGTTTAGTTTTACGACACACTCAGCAATATTCCAGCTATATGGTGACGGTCTGTAAATTGAGTCTGGACTAGACAATCCAGTAATCAACAGCACAAAAATCGGTCTACACAATTCTGAACCGATGACGAGTGTCAACCAAAGCAGCGAGCCTGATCACCCGGTTCTGTTGCCTCGTACGACAAACATGGGTTACTGAGGAATATTCCAACCTGGACCTTCACGGGTATTATCTTCAGGACTTCAAGGATGGGATTTAATTAAGTTTGGAGGAAGATGGTTTGAGTGGTCTTACTGGTATTGAAAAAACACATTCAAAGTATAGCTTCCTTCTAAATCTGTTGATAGAAAAGTCTGTATAAAAATTACAAACATTTCTTTTCTTTCCAAGCATTCTGTCTTTAGGGTACACATGTACATGAAATATGGCTATATGGGTAATAAATGAATTGTAAATACAGGTGTATCTATTATTTTACGTCACTTTTGGGCCTAAAACATGTTCTCAGATGTCAAGTAGGAAATGAACTAAATCCAAAAGTTTAAACAAGGTGCAGTTGATTAAACATTGGAGGGGGGAGACTTTCAGTGTCAAAATAAAATCACACAGATTGTAATGTATCTGGGAATGAACCATTTTTTCTTCAATCCAAGTAACGCTCATCCTCACAGAATACAAATACACACTATGCTTCAAATATCAGGAAGGAAAAAAACTTATTGCAATGCACACATAAAATACATCAGTACATCAAACAGCAATGAGGTTCATGAAAACAACTGACATACCTTGTCGGAGAATATCTTTGTGACCAATGTCTTTGCCTTTGCATTCCTTTCTGTGGTCAGCAAGGAAGAGAAAGTATGCAGACTGTGGGCGCTTCGGTTTACCATCTTCTACCTTCCCACCTGTTTTGCCACCCTTTGGTGGTTTGTAGTCTCCCATCTGAAAGCAAATTTTATAAACTGACTAACTGCTATATCAAATGCCCAGCAAGAAAACCTGACATCACAAGTACAGTAACTTAGTTTCAGAATTAATATCATGGAAGGTAAATCCAACTTTAAATTATGTCATGAAAACCACTGTTGAAGATTAACATCTGGTGACAATACTGAGGCAGATGCTATGTTAGAAGTTTACAATCTTTACAGTACACATTTACAGGTGAATGTCTCCACTTCAGCATCAACCTTTAAGAACATATGAAGTCTTCTAATAATTGAATATATGCTCGAGCGGTTTTCAAAGTGTTCTATCAAGAAGTGATTACTTTACATTGGGATATCAGAAACATTGAAAACAGTGGTGTTCTAACCTCTCTCTGATATCTCAATTTGTCTGTTTCTGCTTTATCATTGAATGGCTTCTTTGTTGTGTCATTCATGTCCTTCCATAGTGCTGAACACTCTTTTGTGAATTCTGCAATCTGCAATGACAACATGGACACATTAAAAACACTGAATGAAGTTTGTTATCACCTCAAAAAGGTGCAACTTTAAGCTAAACATTAAAGGTTTTCATGAGCCCTGTAAGACTCCAGTATTAAATATATGATATTACTACCCAATTTTTAGCATAGAATCCCAGATTAGGTTTTAAATGACAAGCCCCCTTTGATTTCAATGTTGACCAGTGAGAACCGTAATTTCTGCCAACTGGAAGCCATGGACTGAATAATACCAAAACCAAAACGCTAACAGCCATCCACATTCCTCAATGATCAATGTGTTTTATCATGATTTACATGCATATTCAACAATCAATAAAATAAAAATGTGTTCCGATGTCTGAGAACCGTCTGTTTACCTTTGATATAGATCTGCCTTCCTTCTGAGCCTTTTCTCTACAGTGAGCTAAGAAGTAGAAATAAGCAGATGTAGATCTCTTTGGCTTGTTTGCATCCTTAACCCTCTTCCTCTTTTTGGGAGAATCAGCTTTTGTTCGACCTGAAAAAATTCCAAGAGGCAAACATGGTCAGAAAAGTAACAAAGGGCGTGAAAACTTGCATTTTTGTATCTTGCACAGATCAACCAAGCTTTGCAATTTATTGCACGCTGTTTTCATACGCTAAAGCTGTACACAATTGACGGATTTTCCAGCTAAGGCAACCTGTTCCCCATAAATAGCTTTCGGAATACGTTTTATAACACATGCAAACAAGTAAATTTAAAGATCGCAAACTTTTCTAAGGCTCGTGTGAAGATTTTACCCATGCTTCTATGAACTTCCGAATTCCTATATTTTATTCTTGAAAAATAAACATAAACAAAACAAACAGAACATGTTGTTCACGGCATGCGTCGACGGTCTTCTATCCGATAAGAATATCTAACATACATCCAACCTAACACGATTTCTTCTTTCGGATTGTGTAAACAAGCTTTGTTTACAAATCTGTGTGCTAGATGGTTTCACCAAAGTATACCGATCCAATCAGAGATATTCATTCACGACATCAAAATCAACAACAATTTCTGACAATGTTACTGTGTATTGCTGCCCGTTTATTATCAAGTAGTTATCATGTATGGCTTCAATACTAAGCTGGGTCCCCACGCGGACATGGGATTCAAAATGGCCATTTGAAGAACAAACCAAGACAATGGAGCAGGTCGCCGGACGTTCATTATCAAACACTAAATTTACTGCGTTGCGATCGCATGTGTAAAGGCTCTTCACTAGTACGAAAGTCAAAGATAGTAAATGCTAAAAAAAATTCAACCAAACTCAAGAGAATGGCAGTAGAAATCAAGATTCACTTACCCATGTTGCTGCTCTTCCTCTCTGTAATGCTAGCTGTAGTGCGTTGATCTAGCCGGTTCAGTCTAGTTATTATAGCCAGCTTGCCATTCACGTGGTCTAACAAAGGAAGCCCGTATGGCCTTTCCCGCCAAAAGGGGCGCAACTCTGATTGGCTCACGAGCACCTGTCAAACTTCAATGCTTTGATTGCATTGTGTAGCGAGTGTGAACTGGATATCAATGTACTGGCGGACTTTTCAAATCCACATAACAAATTATGTGTTTTTCAATGTAAAAATAATGTATTGAAGTAAAAGAGTTAGTATTTGACCTGATATATCTAGTGAATCAAAATTATTGTTGAAAAAATGCTAAACAAAATGCGTATGAATTGTCCTCGCGAAAAGGAGGCAAGTCTTACAAAATAACAAGTGAAAGTTACTTTAGTGATGAAACAAAATGTCTGCTTTTCTTAGTCAATATTTTTAGACACAAAACAGTGTTACCGTAATGGCGATCAGAAACTAACGTGATGGGAATTTGCGTAACGCAATACCCTTGTTCTACTCGATTTTACAACATGGCCATGTGGCATCAATGTTTATTACTTTGACAACTGCTTGTCATCTAGTGTAATACGTATGGGGCAATAATTAAACAGCCTCTTCTGTTGAACACGTGTTACTTTTGAAACTGTGTGTAACTCTGCATTTATTATAGTTCATTTCGTGCACATTTAATAATCCAGTTAACATGGCTTCCTAACTGATACTATGTGCTGTATGTCTGCATCAGTGACTGATTTGTGACTTTCAATTCATGTCAGTGTTCAATTACACCTATGTCAGAAGCGACCATGAACGAAATAGACGAGCAAATTGCAGGTTAGCTATTTGCCCCGGGGACTTCGCTTTCTCCCTTACAAAATCAAAGCGAAAACTGGAAAGATGTTCCAAAGCGGTGCAAAAAACAAAGGGCTAGAAAATAGCTTGGAGTGAAATGTCACTGTGGACACCCTGCGGAGCCAGTCTCACACAATAGACAATGGTCACTCGGCCAGCAAACAAAGGACCAGTCACGTGATCGAGACGCTTGGCGGGTCAGTTGAATCTGACACAGACTATAAGCCGTTTTGTAAACAGCGCGGAAATTGCACGAAGCGAGAAGGGGTCTGTGATGTCATCTGTTCAGCCACGGATATTCAGGGGCCTAAGGAGAATGTGACCTTTAAGTTCGGGTACTTCTAGGTACTTCTAGGTCGCTGAAGTCGAAAGTTGGATTTGATAAGGCCCCAATGGGATCGACTCCTGCTGACATAATAACTATATAACTTGCCACATTTATTTATAAAAAAATATATAACGTTGTAAACAACAAAAAATTCAGTTATTTGGTCTCAACCCCACGGCTTGTATACACATTATTTCTTTGTATGTCCCAGATTTGATGCTGTAAGAATAAATAAATTTTATTATACCAATGGCTTTTCATTAGAAACAATCTTATACGGAACGTCTTCCATGGACCCACAAATTCAATCACATATCAGTCCATCTATTTATAATTGAAACTAGGCGCTTTAACTGAGCAAGTCATACACTAAAACCTATTATTTTCAAAGCTATACTACTATGGATCCCAACTGCTGATGCCATAAATGTATACAACCAGCATGATTTTAATTTTCCGACTACATGTCATACCATCTACTTTCATTTTAGATATCATCTTTTCTTGTCATGATACTGTTTCATATATCTATGTATATTGGAGCGGTCTTCATATAAGTTCTTTCGAGCTTGTTGACCAATCCAGTTCATGAAAATTCTGTCTTTGTTTTTTTCATGAAATAAATATGTTTAAACCGCTTGTATACACTGAGATAGTTAATGGACATTAAGGTTATTAAATATTTTGCGGTAATTGTTAGTACAATGACTTATTTTGAAGTGTCACTTTTTATTGATAAGAAGAGCTTTAATTAATATGCTATTGATTGTCACCCCTTTCCTTATAAGGAATACACCCCGAGGCAATATCATTCAAAATAACAAGTGAGTGAATGTGATCGCTCTATCCCAGTTATATCACACAGAGGCGGATCCAGGAGTTTAAAATAAATAAATAAAGGGGGGGGGGCGCTGAACCCACACACCCCACCCCCTGGGTCCAATAATGTATCACAGTACGTTAGGTGGGGAGAAAATTCAAAATGACATAAAAGTATGGATATGTTGATCGAATAATTGAGTCGAATCCTCCACAGGGACGCAACTCCGTTTTGTGCGACAACAGTCTGTGTATAATCGAGCCTGAACTAGATAGTCCAACATCATCATCATCATCGACTTACGAAAATGGGATACGGTGACTGTGATCAGAAAGAAAGTCACAAGAAAAAAGTCACGGATAAAAAGTCACAATTTTGGATAGGAAAAAAGTCACGGATAAAAAGTCACAATTTTGGCTAGGAAAAAAAGTCACAGATAAAAAGTCACAATTTTTGCTAGGAAAAAAGTCACAGGAAAAAAAGTCACAATAACAATAATTATGATCATAAACGGTGACATGTGTCAACCAAGTCAGCGGGCTTGACCACACGATCACGTTAGTTGCCTCTTAGGACAAGCATGAGTTGCTAAATATCAATTCTAGACTTGCTTCATTTAGAGCTTTAGAATGGCGGGAGGGAAAACAAAGCGGTTCAGGGACTGAGACAGACTACGTTCAACTGTATAAAGTTTCTTTGTTTTCGGTACGACTTTAGCAAGGCTAGGTACAGGTACATTTACACCCACACCCTCCACCCCACCACACACGCCTCCTCCTCTGTGGAGGCATGGCAGCTCAACTTAAATATAAGCCGTAGGGCACAGTATAATACTGTATTGTGAGTGTAGAGCTTTGTTACACATTCTTAGTGATAGTGTCTCCCAGACGCTAGATAATATATTGAACAAGGTGTCAGGCTCCAGTCTAGAATAATAAGGCAAGACCAAATTTCCTCAGATCCTGAAATTAAGAATCGACCTTGGCTGCTTTGCTTCATTTATTATTATTTTTTTACATATAATTTTTAAACGAGATAACTTAATGTATGGGACCAAATGTCATTCTATGCCCTAAGTATGGAAGACAACCTGAAAAGTTTCGTTAAACAACAGGGTGCCGTTGTACAAAGCGATCTTAACGCTAAGATGATCGTACCTCCCATACCTTAACATAGACTTACGACTGGCGTAGCGCTAAGATTGTTTTGTACAACGGCACCCTGATCCTTTAGGGATGTCTCATGTACATAGACTTACGCGCAAATCGACGACGTGATGTCAGTGAGTGAGTGAGGTTTTACGACGCTTTTAGCAATATTCCAGCAATATCGCGGCGGGGGACACCAGAAATGGGCTTCACACATTTTACACATGTGGGGGATCAAACCCGGGTTTCGACGTGAAGAGCGAATGCTTTAACCACAAATCTACCCCATCTGTTAAATAATGTGTTCACTAGTGTTGGGAATTGGTTAAAATCCCATAATTGATGATTGGTTCATTACAACCGATCAATCATCGAAAATAATTGGCTAGCGTCATTTATGAAATTTTCCTGGTTATTTTTGTTTGCGCAAAAAAAAGAAAGAAAAAAAAAAGTACTTCTATGATTTTTGTTGTTGCAAATTGTACATCTTTAAAGGATGACTAGTATGTTAGAAACATTAATTTCTTGGATAAATTCAATCATGACTTGGAACGAGCTTGTAGTGCTTATGAAATGTAACAGACAAAACCAAACTTGTGAAATATATATATATATATATCTTGTTAATGCAAAAAGTTTTCCAGAATTGTTTGTGTTCGATTATGAGAAAACATGATCGATTGCTTGGTCGTTTAGTCACTGCGACCAATCTTCGATTATTTCAATTAATCGGACCACCACTAATGTTCACAGTAGAAAACAATCTGATCCAGTGGTCTTTCTAAAGAATGATAAAAATGATAACAGGTGAAACTCAGTTAGTCGGAACCGACGAAGAGTGATACTTGGGCTAATATAAGTGTTAAATTGATATTCGACAATATTGCACAGTGTTTTAAACAGAGAAAATGGTTGGTTGGCGTGTTGTTTAACCCCCCACTCAGCAATATTCCAGCTATAAGGCGGTGGTCTGTAAATAATCGAGCGTGGACCAGACAATCCAGTGATCAACAGCATCAGCATAGATCTACGCAATGGGGAGACGATGACATGTGTCAACCAAGTCAGCGAGCCTGACCACCCGATCCTGGTATAGTCGCCTCATACTACAAGCATGGGTTGCTGAACAATTCTAACCCGGATCTTCACGGGTTGGGAAAAAAGGTATTTTCAATTAAACACGTATGTTTTATGGCTCAAACTCTCCCCCCAAAAAGAAACGCATAAGTGTTATTGATATATGAAACTTCAAATATTGATCAAAATTCATGTTTGCTTGTCATAATTCCTCTATCATAATGGGTGCGGTGGGGTAGCCTAGTGGTTAAAGCGTTGGCTCGTCACGCCGAAGACCCGGGTTCGAATCCCCACATGGGTACAATGTGTGAAGCCCATTTCTGGTGTTCCCCCGCCGTGATGTTGCTGGAATATTGCTAAAAGCGGCGTAAAACCAAACTCAGTCAGTCAGTCTATCATAATGCTGGTTTGTGTACATGGAACGAATGCACAGCGCAAAAACGCATCTTCGGAAACTTCAGTGCACGTTTACCGTCGAAAGTGTCAATTGGCATGAAAATGTCATGCAGTAAAAGTGGTTCTCAATCTGTACGTGCAGTTCTGAGGAATCGTGAGCAAGGACATTGCCTGTATCAGACCGTTTTGCTTTTAGACGGTCATTGTTTTTTTTCCTGTTAAATGAAAGTATATCGTTAAGCTGCGACCCACTGCTGTAAATCGAAACATTGCCATTGGACGTCTGGAGACTGGGGAGTCTCAATCTGCCGTTAGAGTGAGTGAGTGAGTTTAGTTTTACGCCGCACTCAGCAATATTCCAGCTATATGGCGGCGGTCTGTAAATAATCGAGTCAGGACCAGACAATCCAGTCATCAACAGCATGAGCATCGATCTGAGCAATTGGGAACCGATGACACCTGTCAACCAAGTCAGCGAGCC